AATAGCAATAATAATCTTAATAAACAACCTGAACAACACAAGAAGAAATGATTGATTAGAGAAGAGCGATTTGTAGTGGAATTATGTCCCTTGTGACCAATTTCAACATGCTACTGCAAGCAAATAAAACGCGAAACACAATAAGCAGGCAAAAGCAAGTGGGCTGTGCGCCTGATTCGGTCCTAATGAACTGACAGATCAGAAATAATAATCCAGCCACAGGACCATAAGTCACTGTAGAGGTGTAATAATGTCAGCCTTGTTAATTAAGGCTGCGCGGTTTGATATAAATGCACCGGTGTAAGATATATAAACAAGTGTTGCTGGTCATGGTTGTAGTGGCGTAACTGTGCCAAACTAAATCAACTAGTGAGTCGTGGGCTTCTGCTCTTGTGTATCCTGCTGCACTATGAAACACTTATCACCTCCACCAGATAGAAATGATTAGTCAGACACACTTGCTCACAGAACTCGATACCGAGACAGTCTCCCTCTGCTCTTTACCTGTAATTGCAAGGGATGTAGAAACTGTACATTCAAGAGTATTATCATTATTGATTAGTATTGAGTATTCAATCAATATGTGGCCATGTAAAGCCAATAGATGTGCATGTTCTTAAGTCTTATTTTCTAATGATACTTAATGCTCAGTTGAGCCAGTACAACAAAGGACAAACATGCTGAATATCATCTAATGTGTTTATCTGTTGCTAAGGGCCAAACTGGGAATAGTAGAATGTTTTTAATTGAAAATTGTTTAATTGAATTTGCTGATATGGTATGAATGTTTTTGAGGACATTTGCCTTTGGGATGAAAATTCCAATACAGACAGTTCTCTCATGCCGTTGTGTGTATGTTTTTTGAGCATGTCTTTATTGAACCCTGCAGAGACTCAAGCGAGTGTGCTTACGTTGTGTTGAGCCGAGCAGCGCTCTAAAAATGGCCCTCCTCCGCTGCTCATCATGGGGAATTTGAGCCCAAGCAAGATGTACACCTGGAAAGGTCAAAGCTTTAGTGAAAGACTCAGCTGAAATATTGATCTTGACAAGCGGTGCTTTGACACAACCCTGTAAAATAATAAACAGCCAAACAAAGCACCTCCTCCTTGGGAAAAAAAACCCAGAAAGTAAATACCAAAAGACCAGGGGAAATCTGCAAGTACAGTCTGGTATCAGGTGAAGCGCATATGCTGGATAATGCAGCATCATCTGCCGTACGGCCGTAACGTTTTTATTGTAGCAGTAAGTTATGGTTTATAATCAGAGGTACACAGCTCAGCAGGAGTCTCATCTGTTCCTCATTGAAAAGCTCAACTGCCTTTGATTTGTACAGCTGTCACCTGAAATTATATCGCCGTTGTTTCGTGTTGTTGTTTTTCCTCTAATGTTCTGTTAGCGAAGCATTATTGCAATTACAGTCTGCTTTGTGCTAAAGCTCTCGCCGCAGAACAAAATCTCATTTGATAGGGAAAATACCTACTTTTAGCACTTCAAACATTTTTAAAACAAAGCCTTATTAGCAGTCTTTAGAGTGTCATTAAACAGCGTCTCGCCCAGTCAGAACCACGTCAACAAACGCCGCTTGCACCGGCATTCACACCTTTTTAACACTCGCTTTATTGTCGAACGGTTACTCCTGTTCTAATCTAGATCCAAACAAACAGAAATGATAGCGAAATTTGCATTTGTCATAATGCTGCATTAACGCAGTGGTCACACTTTGTTTTTTGTGATAAATGCTATGCTAAAGCACAGATTCAGCTGGTTTGTGGAGACAAATGAGTGCTTTGAATAAATATCTCCTCTTTACTGTTTATTAATATACTAAAAATGATGAATGTGGAACAGGGCGCGTGGAACGCGGTCGTATGGAAAAATGATGGTTGTTGCAGCTCTAAACCTGCTCTTGAGTAATACATCTGGTGCAAAGTGCCGCAGAGCCAGACCTATTACTGTATGGTAAGTTTTTAATCTTTTAAAAAATACGGCCATAAATATCGGAGTTCTCCCTCAGTCGCGCTGGTCTTTTTTGTTCCATGGTAGAAAAACTCACGCACCTGTTCACAAAATTATATATAATTTATCAGTGCATACCGAGACACAAACACCCCTAAATAAACATCACTTTATTTACTTTTTTTAGGATAGTGGGTAATTAGGGACATTTTTGCACTTTGGACAAAGTCAAAATTTCAGAGCAACAAATGAGATATCATCACGTAATGTACACGAGACATGAAGCGTCTCATATGACTAAATTTCCAGATTTCATATTCTAGAGCTTACCCTAAATCAGGGGCTCTCGACCTGTTCTTAATCAGTGAGTATTTCTCAAAAAGAAAGGTTTCATGACCTTTTAATTTATTTAGATGATTTAACAACTTTTTGGTCCATGACTCAAATGACTTTTTTTAGGATAGTGGGTAATTAGGGACATTTTTGCACTTTGGACAAAGTCAAAATTTCAGAGCAACAAATGAGATATCATCACGTAATGTACACGAGACATGAAGCGTCTCATATGACTAAATTTCCAGATTTCATATTCTAGAGCTTACCCTAAATCAGGGGCTCTCAACCTGTTCTTAATCAGTGAGTATTTCTCAAAAAGAAAGGTTTCATGACCTTTTAATTTATTTAGATGATTTAACAACTTTTTGGTCCATGACTCAAATTCTAGGTTCCAAAATTGTGTTGTTTAGATTAACACATGCATAACTGAAGGCATTTAATTGGCTGTATCATACAACTCTGCATTGGATCAATATTTGGTCTTACAAGGTATAGTTTACCAAAAAAATTAAAAGGGTCAATTATTTAATTTTATTTAATTTTATTTATTTATTTTTTCAGTGGAGTCCATACAAGATTGGGTCCAACTGACATTCTTGGTATTTACCTGAAAAAAAAAGGCAATACCAAGTCTTATATGGACTCTATTGGGTTTTTTATTTATTTAAAGGGGTCATAGGATGCGATTTCAAGTTTTCCTTTCTCTTTAGAGTGTTACAAGCTGTTCGTGCATAGATAAGATCCCTAAAGTTGCAAAGACTAAAGTCTCAAACCCAAAGAGATATTCTTTATAAAGACTGGTCCACGCCCTCCTAAAACGCCTTGTTTAAACACGCCCCCACATGTCTACGTCACGATGTGGGAAGATTTGCATAACGCCACCCAAATGTTCACGCAAAGAAAGAAGGCGAAACTTTATTGTTGCTGCCACCGCCGCTGCCATGTTGTGAAGATGCTGTGTGTTTCCTTGCGAAAGCGAAAATACTTTGTGTGGCCTTCCAAAAGAGGGCACGACTAGAAATCAGTGGTTAAGCTGTATTTACAACACTGTTCCAGAACAGTTCAACCCAAATATTCAGATGTGTGCAGCACATTTTATGGAGGACTGTTTCCTGATCCTGGTAGAGTAGACTACAATGCCGGCTGTTCTGACTCACAGACTGTAAGTACGTGTTCATATTTAAAGAATTTGCCACTGATGATTCAAATGCGAGTTTTGAGCAGTTTAGAGTAGCACTTGTTGTTTGTAATTTCTCTGATCACAAATGCAGACATGGTTTTATGTTTACGCAGCGCGATGCAACGCGTAAAAAGACAGTATAAGTCATTATAATCTGTAATTATGTCCCCACTGGATGCAACAATGCCTCGTTTATAATGGGTTTTATTGGTTTTGTCTCGTCGCACCGGGACACTGTATCACAGTGTGGTAAGGGGCGTAACATTTCCGTCACATGCTTGAGGTATTCGGCCAATTACAATGCACTGGATAGCTGGCCAATCAGAGCACACCTCTCTTTTCAGAACGATGAGCTTTGTAAAAATTGATGCGTTTCATAAAGACAGGGCGTAGAGGAAAAACAATAATCCATGTGCCAAATCCACAACTGAAATGAGATTGTCATGTTCACCTACACTGACAACATTTTCCACGATGTGTTGTTCTGCCTCCTAGTGTATTCAGTTTATAATTTTCCTCAGAGATTATGACAGTTCAGAGCTCCATCATCATAACAGATCCAAACATTTCCCAGATTCCAAGTGGCTCCAATCCAAGGCCCCATTTACCCTTCAGAATTATCCAGGATATTGTAAAGGCCATGAGTGGATCAATTATAATTTCCAGGAGTATTGAATTATTGTGCACAATTTCTGGATGTATTCTACAGACATTTCCCAGAGGCCATCTCTCCTCCAGCTACTATATGTGTCCTGACATACTGAAATATGACTGTCCCTTAATTAACTGTCAGATTAATTAGATCAACACCAGACGACAGGCAAAATGTTGCTTTTGATGTCTCTCGCTAGGGGAAGTAAATCGAAATGGATCTTTCTCACTGGGTGCGTGTCAAAAGCAGGTGGCGAAGCCTACAGGTGGCAATGTCACTGTTATTGTATATGGCAATATGTGTTATCTCAAACTGATTTACATGGATGTTATGTCTGCGTGTCACGATGCGTCAAAGCAATGCTCCAAATGTAAGCGCTCTGTCTACCCCAACAGGAAGAAACTTTCATTTTATCCTTTTCTTTGAAGCCAAAGTGTTTCGGTATAGCCTAGAGATCCACAAAAACAAACACGTCTGCTCAGTCAAAAGCAACGCCCTGTGTCTTTAGGCTTTTTAATATATATTTGATGTTTGGTGTAAGCTTGCATTAGCAGTTATTCCCACGGGCTATTAATGAAACATTTGACATTCACTAAACATCAAATTTCAGTTCAAGCAGTAGAATTTCATAGGGTTGGCTTTAATGAAATTCATGCATGTTATCAAAATGCAAGCTTAGCAGGAATTGGAAGGAGACAACAACTCAAGGCTGAAAACTGTAAGGTTGGGTTCATTTCATTGGCTGCTCCTCTGAACTCTGTACATTCAATGACTAACTGGTTTTCTCCTTTCTGATTAGGATTGGGTTGGAATTTATGTGATTTTATATGAATTTAATTTCAGAGTTGTCTTACTTTTTGCTTTTTTCTATTACAGGCCTTTCCATGCATATCGACAGGAATTTATGGTAAGGAAAATGTCTATTCATCCTCTAAACCTTTTCAGTGTAGGCTATGTACTGTATATGAGTGATTCTGAGCGTGTACATGAAGCATGTGTGTGGTTTAGATAGCAACTTACATGTATGCTGGTAATGTGTGCATATAATGTAGGTATGAAAAAGCTGATGATGAGCAAATTACCTCTACAGTCTTTTCATGTCTTTAAATTCTCCCATCATTTGATTCTGCCTTTCATTTTCAAAATTGCCTCATTTTTTGTTTGTTTGTTTTGTTTGTTTGTTTGTTTAAAGAAGTATGTTGAAGTCTGCATAAATGAATAATGTTCCTGTTATGTGTGTGTACGTTACCATTCAAAAGTTTGTATTTGTATTATTATTTTAATATATTTTAAATAGAATTTATTCCTGTGATGGCAAAGCTGACTTTATAGCAGCTATTATTTTAGTCTTCAGTGTCTTATGATCCTTCAGAAATTATTCTGATGTGCTGATTTCGTGCTCAGCGTTTAACTTTTACTTAAACCAGATATTATGTTGCTTCTCTAATTTTACATGCAAGTATAGTCGAAATCACAACACAGCTATTGTCTTTGTCTTATGTGTATTTGACTTCATCAGGTGACGGCTTGATTATAAATCAGGATTTTTGTGCAGATTAACATCTTGGAAGGGACAGCTGGTTATGTAGTCTTAATGGATCGGGTTTCAGTCACTATTTCATATTAATTCGGTTGTCTGACAATAGAAACAGTCAAATAGTTTGAGAATTTGGCTGCATCAAATTACAGTATGTGAGCACAGAGATGCAAACAAATGTAATAACAAATAATAAATTTACATTTTGCGAAGCGAGCTGCCCTGTCCTGCAAATAATGTAAACAGGCTTGTGTAAGTAAATTGCTCAGTGCAAAGAAAGAGAAGTAATGGGAAACTGGTATTTCTATGTTCTTTTTTTCATGTGTCTAATAGACATGAACAAGTTATTTGAAAGTCATCTATGACCTTTGAAACATGTCTAGTCTTCATGCTCTATGTTGAGTATGGTTTCACTAATAATAAACATACATTTGCATAAAGCATCCATATTTGTCTATGGCCATGTTGATTAGAGTTTTAAAAACTTGGAAAGTATTAATTTAAGGTACATTTAGAACAGATAAAAATGTGCGATTAAGTTGCGATTAATCACAAGTTAACTCATGTCAATCATGTGATTAATCGCGATTAAATATTTGAATCGATTGACAGCCCTAATATCTATCTATCTATCTATTTATCTATCTATCTATCTATATACTATACAGTGGGGAAAAAAAGTATTTAGTCAGCCACCAATTGTGCAAGTTCTCCCACTTAAAAAGATGAGAGAGGCCTGTAATTTTCATCATAGGTATACCTCAACTATGAGACAAAATGAGAAAAAAAATCCAGAAAATCACATTGTAGGATTTTTAAAGAATTTATGTATTATCAATATTGAATATATATTATCAATATACATTCTGAATTCTGAAAAAAAGTATCATGGGTTCCATATATATGTATGTTTGGAACTCATGATACTTTTTCAGATTTCTTTTATGTATTGATTGTTCAAAAGAACAGCATTTGTGTGAAATCATTTTTGTAACTTTATAAATGTCTTTACTGTCACTTTTGATCAATTTAATCCTTGCTGAATAAAAGTATGCGATTTAAAGAAAAAGAAACACTTGAACAGTAGTGTATAATGTACGTGTGTGTATGTGTGAGATTCTGCCACAAGAAAGTGCCTTTGAGATCTCAGCACTTCAGAAAGAATGCAGTTATGTTTGATTCAATAAATAATCTGCAACCTGCCTCTCCAGCACTGCGTAATTGTTCAGATCATCACAGAGAGGGAAAGCATTTACTCTGAAAGCAAGAAGAGCACTCAAATATCATGATCAAAGAGCTAATAACCTAGAATACTTCCCCAAGCTGGCGTTTTCTTGTTTCTTTCGGCCAAAAAGACAGTAAATGCTCGTTTAGGAGGGAAATTAATTTCATACCATGGCAGTCATGAACGTTTGTTTTTAAAACATTCTCAAATAAGCTGAAGGAACATTTGCTCTCTTCTTCAATGAGACAAACACGATCCATGTGGCCACGTCACCAGATTAACCAGCTCCAACATGTAGAACTGTCACTCACAGCCAACCAGAGCTGACACCCCATCTCTCTTTTTCACTGCATCATGGGAGCTGAGGTCCAGGCTGACAGATGATCGGGGTACAGAGGGTAAGGCGTAAAGGGGCTGTTCTGTGGGGTTGGAAACGTGGACAGCAGGCAGGTAGAAAAATGAGGCCTCACTCCCAGCTGACAGTCCAATCCCTCAGCCCACACCATTAGCACAGGTAGAGCTTTCACACACATGGCGTATTGGAGGAGATGCCACCCATAAACAAACTGGAGCCTGCCGCCAGCAGAGGGTTGGATGGTATGATAGAGGTTATTAAGTCCGACACTCATAGCCTATCAATCAATGACACGAGAGACGGGTTAAAGCGGGTTATTTCTTTTTCAGTGAGGATGTGAAGGACTGGCAAATCTATCCGTGTCTTACATAGTGCGGACACAGGCAAAGCACAGAGGTGGACAAAGGTTGCATCATCCTTTACTCTGTCTGGATCTAGCATTCACACTATTTCTTCTTTTTTTCCTGGATATGCAATTGGTTCATTAAAAGCAAAAGTTTTTAGTCACAAAAGCTCTGTTTTGAAATCTGAAATAGAAATCTTACACCCGCCAGTGCCAATAGCGTAGTGGGCAGCACGCTGACATGTAGCACTGTTGTGTTTTGGGCGTCTCGAGGCCCTGATTTCCGGCTCGTGGACCTTTCCTGATCCTGCCCCCCTCTCTCTTCCAATTCGCTTCCTGTCCACTTACTGTCCTATCGAAAAAAATCTTTAAAAAATAAATAACATCCCTATTTTATAATCTGAAAAAAAGCTACAACTTTATTTTGTAAGTTTGACTTTATTCTCAAAATATTTATGTTTTAATCTTATGTTGCAATTTTATTGCAACATTTCATTATTCTCAACAGATTATTCTCAAAACCTTTTTAATATTTATTTTTGAAATGTTAAGTTTTAGTATGGCACAAAAACTGCGTTGTACATTAAGAAATATGTTATTTTATATTTTACATTTTGTGTATTTTGTTCATTTTATTTATTTATTCATTTGTAAATGTAAACATTTTTAAGTGTTTTTTTTTAAATTATTTCTTATATAATTTATTTTCCAAACAAAAAATTATAAGTCTGTTAATGCTTTAATACTGGGGAATAATAATAATAATAGTAATAGCAATTGTCAATTAATTGCGATTAATTGCATCCAAAATAAAAGTTTGTGTTTATGTAATATGTGTGTGTGTGTGTGTGTGTGTGTGTGTGTGTGTGTGTGTGTGTGTGTATATATATATATAAATAAAAATAAAAAAGACAATTACATTACAGTATTGATCATTTTGGGGTAAAATTCGCTTACAGTACTGGTTCTGAAAATGTCACAACACAAAACAAAAATAATAATAACAATAACTGTTTTTTTTTTCTGTAACTGTTTGCAGTTAAATATACACTTTTGCATGAAAAAAAAAAAATCTAAAGTAGTATTAATTACTTTGTAGCCTGTTGTTAGGCCCAGATGTAGTGGGAGGGTTGATTTCACATTGGAAAATAACAGAATCACAGTAGGAAATGTGTGTGTGTGTGTGTGTGTGACATGGTTTAGTGAAAAGTAAATGGTAGGTGATAATTTTAGCATGTGGGACACCACCAATACATATGGCTTTTCAAGGTCACACACTGACAGGCCTGGTTTGGCCATCTATATGTGTGTCTCTAGAAAATAACAGAATCACAGTAGGAAATGCTGCTGCGGTGTGTGTGTGTGTGACATGGTTTAGTGAAAAGTAAATGGTAGGTGATAATTTTAGCATGTGGGACACCACCAATACATATGGCTTTTCAAGGTCACACACTGACAGGCCTGGTTTGGGCATCTATATGTGTGTCTCTATTAGGGATGGGAAGATTCACCGATTCGCTCGGTGCATCGACATAAAAAGTTAACGATGCGATGCATCGGTTTAAAAAGTGTGCATCGGCTACAAGTTGCCATTTATATCGTGATGCATCGTTTCAAACATATTTGCATCAGTAAAAAACGATTTATTTATATATAATTACTAGTGGATGGCTACACATTTATTGTTTAGAAAGTGACCCATAATCTGTGACCAATATTTTATATGTAGATTGATTTCTCCTCTCTAAACTGTTTCTCAAGCGCACTCTCTCATCACCGCTGCTGCTGCGTGAATATGAACCATCACAACACCACTACAGAGACCTGAGGAAAAACGGGGATTAAAGTCCAAAACCTGACTTGAAATAATCTAACAAATCAATCGGGGCTAAAGCGGTTCCATTAACGACAAATTAAATTCACACAATCTCACTAATTTGTGCATGCTTATTCTTAAGCAGACCTTAATGTCGATCATGGATCAAATCGATCCACCATGGCTAACAGCGAATATATCTGTGCTGTGTAATGCATTTGAGACGTTGTGTTTTCCTCAGTGCATAACTGACATGTCACAGGTATATTTTTCATTTGTAAATGTTATAAAGTCATGCAAACATGTCCATTTTGCTGTCAGGAGTGGACGAGGCACGCAAAAGCAACGAGCGCTGCTGCGCGCATACACAGACAGAGCGCAATCGAATAGGAGCGCAATAATTCTGAGTAAAATATACATTTTGCTAAAAAAAATTGTTTTTGGACATTAAATGTGTCTTTTGTAGAATTTTAAACCTACACATAAATTGTATTTTTATGATAGCAGTAACTGTAACTATTGTAATAGGTAAATCAAATGTAAGCTAGTAGGCTACTAATTACTAAGCTCAAATAATGTGTGTTTCTTATAGCAGTTAAAATGTAGTCATTTTCTTTATTATTTATTTTCATTTTTAAATCAGTGGTTTTAACTTTTAATTTAGTTATTTTAATGCTTTATAGA